AAGGATTTCATCTAAAGTAGCAAATTGGCTACATGCACCCATCTCCCAAGATTGACTACAGTAATAGTAAAGAAGAATGAGAAAGACCTACAAGAACGAAGAGTGGGAACGGGATCATTATCAAATGAGATGTTTTAACACATTTTGGAAAGAATTAAAGAGGATACTAACAGGAGAGCAGATAATGCTGCGCTGGGCCCAGACAAGCTTGAGCTTGGAGGCGTCATGGTGGGGGAGGTGTAGGGGAGGACTGAAATCAGGTGGAGAGGGTATCAGTCTATAAGAACTGGTCCTCTCACCCCCCTGCTGCATTCCAGCAGACAGGCATTTATACTGCAGCTGCGGACCAGATTGGAGAAACGGACCTGGACGATCTCCTAACTCAGAGACTCTGTGTAGCAGAGGGTGGATACCCTGGTGCTGAAAACAAGGGGATTAGTTTGGAATTTGCACTCACCCAGATGAGCCAAGGATATCCACCTCCCAGGCCAGTGATCAGATGTTTTCTGGAGAAACACAAGGCCTCAGAACAAAGCCCTTCACAACCAGATCTCTGGGAGGCACCAGTGTGGGGCTCAACCCTGCCCACTCTCCCAAAAATGAAATTTGCCAGCTGATGAGCTCCACCATTGGAATTTCCACACAGAAGCTAGTATAAACAGCTAACCAGGGATCAGCTGACATATAAGGAAAGGGAAAGTTGCGTGAACAAAAGAATTAAACGATCAGGAAGAAGCTATCTGTAAGAAACAAAGACAATGCAAGTTCAGAAGAAAACTTCAGAAACTTCCAGATAGTATTCACATAGAGTTCAAGAAGTTGGTGAACTCAGAATTTCACTTGAAGGTAGAGAAGATAAAGTCAAGGAAATCTCTCAACAAAGTAGCAAAGAAGGACAAGGAGTTGAAAAGTACACAGAGCAGTTAAGAAACATGGAGCATCTATCCAGAAGGTTCAGTATAAAAATAGAGTTCCAGAAAGAGAAACAGAGACAACAGAGGTGAGAAAGCCAAAGAAGTTGTACCAGGAACACATCTGCAGACCACAGGTACCCAGCACAATAAATGACAAAAGTCACGCCACCATGCAGCATTGTGAAATTTTACGACAACAGCCTTCATGAGGGGATTCGACAGTTTCCTGGAGAGGAACAATAGGCACCAGGCACAGGAATGGGAATTGGATGGCATTGAATTTCTCAAGAGTGACTCTGGATGCTAGGTGTTGTATGCCTTCAGCATTCTGGAGGAAAATGATTTTCCGTGTATTATTTCATACCCAAATGACTAATAAAGTGTGAAAACAGAACACAAATATTTCCAGATAACCAAGGATGGAAGAAAAAGATATCCCTTTGATTCCTTTTTTTGAAAGATTTATTTATTTTTTATTTTAGAGAGACAGGGGGAAGAGGGATTGCATGAACGGGGGGAGGGACGGGGGGAGGGGAAGCAGACTCCCTGCTGAGCAGGCGGCCAACACGGGGCTCGATCTCAGGACCCTAAGATCATGACCTGAGCTGAAACCCAAGAGCCAGATGCTTAACCACCTGAGCCACCCATGTGCCCCTCTGTGATTCCTTTTTACGGGAACTGCCCTTCAGCAGAAGAGAGGTAGAGAAAAGCATGAGAAGGACCCAGGAGAAGTGGACCCAGTGAAGGTGAGCGGCCCCAAGGGACGCCTCCTGGAAACAAGGTACCCCACACAATATCTCCTACAGTAGGTATTTGGGAGAAGTTCAGAATGTGTATGTAGAAAGTTATACAAATAAAACAACAAAGCAATTATTAACTTCAAGAAAAATAAAAAATGGGACAAGAACGGAAATGTAATCATTCCCCACCTGTCTGTGTGCAGAATGACATTTATACAGTCATCATTTAAACACTATTTCACTGAAATATTTGTATATCTGTGTTGAGCAGATGAGGAAGGAGAGATGGTTGGATATCTAAGGGAACTATGTCTTAGCTATCATAATAGGAAGTCATTAGGTAACATTTCAAATTAGTAAATGAAGAAATAGTGGACGTATAATAATTGGAAATATCAATAACTACTAGAAGGGAAAAGGTAAAAAGCAAGACTGCCTTTGGGAAGTAGAATTGGAAGGATGGAGGGGGAAACAGGTAACTGCTGGCTGTTTATTAGAAGCTGTCCTCATGGGGCGCCTGGGTGGCTCAGTCGTTAAGCGTCTGCCTTCCGCTCAGGTCATGATCCCAGCGTCCTGGGATTGAGCCCCGCATCGGGCTCCCTGCTCTGCCAGCAGCCTGCTTCTCCCTCTCCCACTCCCCCTGCTTGTGTTCCCTCTCTCGCTGTGTCTCTCTCTGTCAAATAAATAAATAAAATCTTAAAAAAAAAAAAAAAAGCTGTCCTCATGGGGTGCTGTTGAGCATCTGGTGCTTGATTTGGGCTCAGGTCTTATTGCCGGGTTGTGAATTCAAGCCCTGCATTGGGCTCCATGCTGGGCATGGAACCTACTTAAAAAAAAAAAAAAAGAAGAAGGTGTCCGTAGCGCTTGATTTTTTTTTTTTAAATTTCCACTTCAAAAACAACTGTTAACCATTTTATTTAAAAATAATTTCTTAAAGACTTATTTATTTTAGAGAGAACACATGTGCGGGCGGGGGGAGGGGCAGAGAGAGAGAGAGAATCCTCAAGCAGACTCCCCATTGAGCATGGAGCCCAACACAGGGCTCGACCCCAGGGCCCCGAGACCATGACCTGAGCCGAAATCAAGAGTCGGCTGCTTAACCGACTGAGCCACCCAGGCGCCCCTTCTGTTAATCATTTTAAAGCGTACATTTTAGTGGCATTAAATACATTCACAGTATTGTGCAACTACTACCTGTCTCTAGATCCAAGACATTTTCTTCCTCCCTCACAAAGGAAACCCATTAAGCAGTCACATTCCTGTCTCCTTGCCCCCACCCCCAGCTCCTGGCAACCACCAGCCCAGTTTCTGTCTCTACGAATTTATCTATTTCGGGAGGTTTATACAGTTGGAATCATAACAGTGTGCAACCTTTTAGTTGGCTTCTTTCACCTAGCGTCATGTTTTCGAGGTACGTCCATGGCGTAGCATGTGTCAGTTTCTTCATTCCTTTTTATGGCTGAATCCTGTTTCATCAAATGGGTAATACCACCTTTGTTTACCCATTCATTAACCAAAGGACATTTGGGTTGTTTCCACATTTTGGCCACTTAACTGACTGAGCCACCCAGATGCCCCACTATATAAAGAACTTACATAAGCCTCTAAGTAAGATGCTCCAATAGATGACTGGATATGAGTAGATGATTTGCAAAGGAAGGAAACAATTCATAAATACAAGAAAAACTAGTAAGTGAGAAATACAAAATAATCAAAGAAGATACTTATGTTTCTTTCTAGTGACAAAATTGAATAAAGTCAGGATGTACGAAATCGGCACTCTTCTGATAAAGAAAGTACATATTGGCCTGACTTTTTGGAAGACATGTGGGCACAGCATGTTGAGAATGTTATTTATTACTCTTTGACCTACTAATTCAACTTCTAAGAATCTGTCCTAGGAAAAGAACTTGAAATATACAAAATCCTCTTACAAACAAAGATGCTTATCACAAAGTTATTTAATGGTGAAAAATTGTAAACAACTTCTGCATTCAGCAGGAGGTGGATGAGTAATTTCTGATACACCCAGTGCTTGAAAAATGCCTAGCACGCAGTAGGCATAAAATAAATAGTTGTTGAATGGATGAATATATCCATAGGATGTAATATTATGCAGTCATATAAAATTATATTTATATTATTTTTAACAAGTGAAATTCTTAAACTTCAGGGGGAACGTGACATTTAAACGTTTATCAGGATTATGGTCTAGTCACCTGTGGTTTTTTTTTTAAGATTTTTATTTCTATTGGTAAAAATAAAGATCAAATGAAAGCATTGGAAAAAGGAAATAAAAATGTTACCTCTGGGGGTGGAATATTAAATAATCAAAAATATACCATCTCCGTGGGGCACCTGGGTGGCTCAGTCAGTTAAGCATCTGCCTTCAGCTCAGGTCATGATCTCAGGGTCCTGGGATTGAGTTCTGCATCGGGCTCCCTGCTCAGCGGGGAGTCTGCTTCTCCCTCTGCCCCCTTCCCCCTGCTTGTGCATGCGCTCTTTCTCTCTCTCAAATGAATAAATAAAATGTTTAAGAAAAAATATATATATATATACCATCTCCTTAACTCCTGCACAATTATCCAGCTATCTCAGCACAGTTTCCCCAGGACCTCATCACCTGGGTGGCAGGGATGATCAGAAAGTGGAGGCCACGGCTTCTGCTGGGCCCTCCCTTTCCCCATTGGATTCTTTCAGTAAAGCCTTCTGCCTTCATTAGGGCTGGGGCATCTGACTCTGCTGGGTATGCTGGGAAATGCAAAATGGATGAAATTGATTCTCAAGCACTTACAGGCACACGTTTTGCATGAGGGACCAAGGACACAAAGTTCAAGGAGTCCTTCACCCCAGGGACTTCACATTTAAGATTAGATAAAACCTAATACCCATCCGGGCTCGAAACCATCTTCTGTACGTGCGTTGCAAAGGATGATGCTATTTTCAAGTTTCCTGATGGCGCTGTTGACGCACCTGTCTCAACCCACTCAGTTGACGTCTCTGTACCAGGCCTGGGATACCTGAGTGCTCATTCTGTCACCAGTCCTCGCTCTGTTCTCCTGGTTTGTAGCATGGGCTCCTCATGGAAACACAAGACACAGTCACTGGACGTACTCCAAGGAGACTGACTGCCGCCACGTGCCAGGGCCACAGCCAAAACTTTTATTTCTGTTATACATTCATATATGTATGTGTATATACCTGTGTAAGTAATTTCCTATGAGTTGATATTGCCTTTATAAAAAGTAAACTTAAAAATTAAAAAATAAAACTCTGCTTTGCGTTTCTCTTCAGGCATTCGCTCCGCTTGTTTGCTTTATTGTCTTGCTCTCTGGGTTGCCTGCAGGCTGTCCAGGAGGCTCTGCAGAGGGAGGACAGGGGTCCTGGGCATGGCCACAGTGTGGAGCTGAGCCAGGGGACCTCGGAGAAAATGAAGGGGGCCTTGAAGAGAGCCCCTGGTCACCTGGAAGCACTTCTCCTTGTCACTCAAGTTGGGGACACCCAGGTATCATGGGGCTACTCTCTGCTGCTGACTCCCGAGGAGGTTCTAGATTTGAAGGTTACAATTAGAAGCCGCCCTGGAAGGCCCTTGATGAGCCACCTCCCACCCGCTGGTGTGGTACAGCTGTCCCCGGGAGAGGACCAAAGGCCACCCATGGCGGGGGGGGGGGGTGGCGGGAGGCAGCTGCTGGTGGCGGGCATGGGGCCAGGCCTGGGAGCACCAGGCAGAGGAATCGCGTGGAGGGCCTGACAGGTGGAGCTTTGTGTCCCAGCTGTCCTCATCCGGAGGGGTGGCCAAGCAGATCTCTCCTTAACCCAGCTCCCTCTCATCCGGCCGCACTTGGCTGCCTTCCAGTGACTCAGTCCTCTAGGATCTCTGCAGAGAGCCCCTCCTCCCCCACTCCTGCAGATGCAGCATAGTGGGCTCCCCTTTGGAGCCTGGACTCCCTGGGACCCCTCAGGCTTGGCCACTCATGGTGAGGCTGCGGGCCTTTGGTTTATATGGCAGAGGGGGGTCTCACTTTCTGATTACAGAAAGTTCAGCAAGCTCCTGCCCTGCCCGAAGGAAGGAAACCCTGATGCTTTTACAGACCGCACCCTCCAGGACTGTGATACAGTGGGGCACCAGCAGTGTGGGCAGGCACCATGGTGGGTCCAGGGTGCAGGAAGGACCCCAGCTTTGCCCTAAATTTCTTGGAGGAGAGAGACCCAGCAACAGTGAGCATGAGGGTACTGGCTGAGCTGTGAAGGGATGCTTTAGGGGTGCTCGGAAGGAAGTACAGGAGTCTTTCTAGGTGGGAAGGATACGTTTGCAGAGGAGGTAATGCATGAGCTTTGCCTTGAAGGAGTTTGACAGCGGAGGGCAAAAGAGAAAAATAGGGAAGAAGACATCATATGGAAAGCCCCAGAGGCAAGCAAGTCAAGTTTTGGGAACAGCGGGAGTTTGGGTCTCTGGGATGGGAATGGAGTAAGGACAGGGGAAATGAAGCTGGGAAGGACAGTTGGGCCCAGACTGTGGCCCCACTGGACGCAAGCTTGGACCCTCTCTGCACTGCCCCACTTCGTAAATCTTAAGTGAATAATGCAGACTGCTGTTTGTCTCTTGGAACTAATTCAAATCCTTTAGCCTCACTCCCAAAGTCCTTGAATTAGAATGCCCCATCCCATCCACCATGCTCTTGCCTGACCAGCAGAGCAGGAATGAATTAGCAGCAAAATCCCTCTAAGGGCAGCAGGCTGGGGACACATTTAGCAAGGAGGAGGTGGGGACATGGTCAGAATAGTTTGCTCCTGTGTGTAAGTTTTGTAGCAGGTATGTTTTGGAGTGTGTGTGTGTGTCTAGATAGCCGTATCTATCTATCTGTCCCTCTTTAAGCAATCCAAGGTCAAGAGGCCTGTATAAACCTAAATTCTTACCTCCTAGGAAATAGGAATATCAATTCTCTGTGGGCTACAGTTGACTTCTTTCTTTCTTTTTTTTTTTTTTTTGTCTGTAAAATGAGAATATCGGCCTAGATAGCTTTCAAACCTTTTAAATTTACTAATTTGGCGAACATTTGTTAATGACTTGCCATGAGCAGGCATTGTGCCAGCCCTAGTTCATCTAGTGAGTGGACAAGACAGGACAACACACCACCTTCATGTGCCTGGTGGTGGACAGATGTTTAACATGAGGACAGGCATGATGTGGCATAAAGAAGAAAACGTTCTATGGGGTGAATAACAGAACCACTCTAATCTGGGAGTGTTCAAGTCAACATCTGAAGGAAGAGCAGGAATTCGCTGGAAAAGGAGGTCAAGAAGAGCATTCCAGGCAGAGGGTGCAAAAGGCAGAAGGTGGAGAAATGCCTTCATTCCAGGAATGGGGTGGAGTGCCTGCAGAATGGACAAGGAAGAGATAGAGGGCTAAAGGTAGGGCTGAGGAGACAGGGCCGATGTGCAAGGCCCTGAGAGTGTTATATTTTACCCTATGAATAACCTTCAAAGGGTTTGAGGCAGAGAAATATCATGATTGCACCTGCACTTTATAAAGATCCTTCTGGTTTTCAGTTGCAACCCCGTAAGTATTTGAATGAGGCAGCAGGACAGGTGAAAGGGAGGCCTCATTGTGAAGAATGAGATTGGGGGGGCAAGGTGTCAGGTAAGAGGACAGTGTGGTGACCACGGGGATGGAGAGAAGTGGATGGGGACATTTAAAAGACTGAGTTGCCAGCATCTGGTCATTGGGGAGATGTGAGAAGAAACATAGTCAAGGATTTATCTCAGGATTCTGGCTTTGGCCATGACCCAAAGCATGATGGTGTCATCACATTGCAGGGATGGTCAGGGATGGATTTGGGACATGTTGATTCTGAGGTCACTGTGGATATTGCTAAATAGATCTGGAGGCCAGAGAGATGGAAATGATGTTGGCATCTGGGTGGTAACTGGAGGCATGGGGGGTGGAGGAGACCACCGAAGAAGAGAGTGCAGAGGGCCAAGGGGGTATGTCTGTCCTCAGGACCCTAACATTTAACACACAGGTCAAGAAGAAGCCAGCCAGGGAAAGGAAAATGAGAGAAGAGGGAGGGAAACCAGGAAAGTTTGGTGCCATGGAGGCCAAGAGCAGAGAGTTTCGTGGAGATCAGAGTGCCAAGCCATGGAAAACACGACTAAAGAATACCAGCTTTCGTTAGATGGGAACTGGAAAAAAAAATGTGTTCTTTAGATTTTGCAAATGGAGCTTATTGTTGATCTAGCAAGAGCTAGAGGAATTCATAAAATGAAGACAGTCAATGAAGGCAGGTCTTTCAAGAAATTTGACTTGGAAAGGGAAGAGTGGGCTATAGATGGAGGGGTGTGTCAGGTTGACGAGCGATTTTTTTTTTTTAAGATTTTATTTATTTATTTGAGAGAGAGAGAGAGAGCGCGCACATGAGAGGGGGGAGGGTCAGAGGGAGAAGCAGACTCCCTGCTGAGCAGGGAGCCCGATGTGGGACTCGATCCCGGGACTCCAGGATCATGATCTGAGCCGAAGGCAGTCACTCAACCAACTGAGCCACCCAGGCGCCCGAGCAATTTTTTTTTTTTTTAAGTTGGGGAACTTTGTTTAAAAGCAGATGGGGGCACCTGGGTGGCTCAGTAGGTTAAGCATCTGCTTTCAGCTCAGGTCATGATCTCAGGGTCCTGAGATCGAGCCCATGTCTGGCTCCCTGCTCAGTGGGGAGTCTCCTTCTCCCTCTCCCTCTGCCCCTGGCCCCTCCCCTCTGCTTGTGCATGCTCTCTCTCAGATAAATAAAATCTTTTAAAAAAATAAAAAATAGGGACGCCTGGGTGGCTCAGTTGGTTAAGCAACTGCCTTCGGCTCAGGTCATGATCCTGGAGTCCCGGGATCGAGTCCCACATCGGGCTCTCTGCTCAGCAGGGAGTCTACTTCTCCCTCTGACCCTCCCCCCTCTCATGCTCTCTCTATCTCATTCTCTCTCTCAAATAAATAAATAAAATCTTTAAAAAAAAAATAAAAAAATAAAAAAATAAAAAATAAAAGCAGATGGAGATAAACTGATAGAGAATGGTTGAGGTTACAGGACATAAGGGGTATGTGAGCTGGGTTCAATCAGAGAAGTCGAACCACTTGGATTATAAGGGATCTATTATAAAGATTTGACCTTGAATAGTTTGGGGAACCCATTACCCTGTCTATGTGGCATTGTTGTCTCTGTATCTGGTGTTAGACCTTGAAGGCCATAGGGAGGCAGTTGGGAAGGGAAGAGACATGTGAACTGGGGGGAGCAAGAAAAAGCTGAAACCTTAGAGGTTGAGCTGAAACCCACAAGGATGGACTGGAACTGTGTTGTTTTCTCACGGACTCTATTATTCCAACTTTGATAATGAAGATGTCATGCAACGTATGGGTGTTCTTTGTCACAGAGCTAAATATGCCCCTGGCCCAGGAGTTGGAGAAGCTAGAGTTAGGGGCCAACCAGTTCGCCCAGCAGACAAGTGACAGTGCGTGGTGCTTGCACTTACTGAGCACAGAGGAGCATGGCTGCTCCTTCATGGCTGCCTTGCACATCTTGGGCCAAGTATCCCATGATAATTTGGAACTACAAATGAAGGGAATTCTGGGAAGTGTAGTCCAGATTAGTTAAGCTGACAGAATACAGATCCATCTTAGAAGACTACTTCATTTTTAAAAAAGTATTTCTGAGCAGATCCAGGCACTGTTTTAGGAGCTAGGGATACAATGCAGTCAGAGTTCATCTTCACAGAACTTAGGTTCCAACAGGGAAATCAGGCAATAGCAAGTATGTGTATGATATCATGCCAGATTGTGATAAATACTACTGAAAAAAATGAGAGAGAGAAATAGCTAGTGTTGATGATGGGGGTTAGGTGAGAAGGAGGTTTTATTAGAGAGGGTGGTTGGAAAACCTCTTTGATGAAGTACTGTTTAATCACAGATGGTAATGAAGTGATGAAGTCAGCCAAGCAGAAATCACGGGAAAGAGCTTTTCAGGCAAAGGCAAACAGTATGTTCAAAGGCCCTGGGGCAGGAACAGCCTTGTTCAAGAAACTGCAAGAATGCCAGCTACCCTGGGGTGGGAGGTGGGAGGTGAAGTTGGAGAGCTAGGCAGTAGCCAGATCACGAGATCATGTAGAATAGCCATCATCTAACCTAGCTAGTGGTTCCTTTCAAGACCTCACTTGGAAGGCTTGTCCTTTTTTGACCTTATTTAAGCCATCTCCAGCGCTTAAAAGCCTCTCCCCAGGGACATTTGTTGATTATTTTAACATCACAGCTACATAAGGCAATGGATAACAGTTGGGGTGGACAATAGACTAACATAGAGCTTAAAAGGAAAGGCTGAGGAGTAAGATGTCCATTGGGAGTATTTATTTATTTATTTATTTTCCACTGGGAGCTTTTAAAAGCTCTGCTGTTCCTATAATCCATGTACGTGTGTTGGCCATGTGTGTGTTTAGAAAAGACTTGAGAAGGCAATAATCTCTCACCTCTGACTG